AATGACAAATAAATGAAATTTTGTCTTGAAGCATGGTGTAGCATGAGTAACAGTCTTCATGCTGGGTACTCATATGGGTGTATCTGTATGTGGGCGGTCCCACCTGGAGACAGATAGAGGAGCGGTGTCTCTGAACCTAAGACCATCAGAAACAAATTTTCCCATGGTCTTAAGCGACCCCTGTGAAAGGGTAGTTCTACCCCCAAAGGGGCTCCGCCACCCACAGGTTGAGAACCTCTGGCCTAGAAGGTAGTTCTACTTTGTCCTGTAGGATGACTTTGAGTCAGAATTTGCTCTATGGTAGAGAGTGTATTATGTTTATTAAAACAGCATTTATGCTACTTAAAACATTAAAATTATTTTAATGTGAATTAATTGGAAGCCTTGAAGATGCACAGTATCTTTAGCCAATTATTTAAATGTTGGATTTGTATTGAGCTAATCTCAGGCACATTGTCAAAATGATAGACTATCAAATTTAGAAGAGATGTTTCCAGCCAAAGCTGAAAATCCTTTCTACTGTAGCATCTTGGACAGATGGCAGTGTAGCTCATCCTGAGTGCCTCTAATGAATAATGAGGAGCCCACTGTCTCCTCTGCTTTCTATGACTCTACCTTGCCACCATCTTGGGAGGGTTTTGGTTTAAAGAACCTGTCATCTGATTTATAGCAAAACAAATGTTTCCTTAGGAAGAAAGAAAAATTATTTGAACTCACAACAGCAAACTAAAATGAGTGTTCAGAATTTTCCTGTTGCATAAAAAAGGTGTGGGTGATACCATGGAATTGGCTGTCATGTAAACTATTATAAACCTATATATTAATAGCTAGGGAAAATACATTAATGGGGGAAAATTTCTCTTATGGAAAAAGTCCAGCAATTTAAATGATAAACAACTGAAACAAAAAAACCATGGGTACCATAGTATGCATATGGACCTTATGATGTGATGTTAGAGAGGTCAATTTAAATTAACTCAAAGATTATAATTATGAAACAGCCTC